AATATCTGATTAATATTTTTTAAATATATGCTGAATTCTAAGAGGAGCTGAGTAATCTCTTAGCTTTTACTTAGGTTTCATTCACTCTCAGGAAATGGAAATTAGAACAAAATGTAAATCAGGATTCTCTGTGCCCTGCCTCCACCTCCATGAAGCCTCTGGAGTTCTGTTTGAATTCTGTTATCGCTGTGCTGTACCTTGAAAGACTAGCGGCAGCCACCTAATGCAGGATTAGCCAATCAGGTTTGTGCAAGATTTTGGAATTGGGACCCTGAGATGCTAGTCCATCTCTGCTGATCCCTTTTAGAGAGGATACGTAAACTTGGAAGTTGTACACTCAGAAGCAGGGAAAACTTGTTTTCAGAGAGAGAAGCAGCAGCAGATAAGCATCACCTGGCCAGACAAGCAGAAGAGCAATTAAGAGAAGAGTTGCTTGGGCTCCTGATGGCATTCCGGTCCCCTGTCCAGTGCCTCTTCAGGAACAAGTGTTTGGTCGTTAGTATCTGTGAGATAAATATCCCTATTTCCTTTTACTTAATTGCCTTATTATTATTAAGCTAGCTTGAGAGAGTTTCTGTTACTTGCAACCAGGGAATCTCTGTCGAGAGGCAACTAGTGCACTTTCCAGTGCTGATGTACAGGGTATCATTTTGCAGGGAATAGCCTGGAGCAAACGCCTGTCTATTTTTTTCTTTCCAAGTTGACTAGAGTCTAGTGTCAGATAAGACGTGTTACATAAACACTGGGCTCAGATGATTCAGAATAAAATCAACTAGAAAAAAATCAGAGAGACATATATGGACTTCAGAACAAATGTTTATTACTGCTTAATGGGGCCAAAAGGGCAACACAAAGCACTGAAAACATCACTGGCTCACAAAAACAGCCACCTTGTTACCTTCTTGGTTGTATTTGTTTATTTCACAAGGCTTCATTCACACATGAAAACAAGATACTAATCCAATTCAAGTTCATAACAATTATAAAAGTAAACATTTGTTGGGACAATGTACAATAAATTGCACTTTTCTTAACAAGCATTACATTTACATTTACAGAGTGTACTATACATAATACATGGAATTATGAAAACATCTAATTGGTCAATGTTTATAGAGGAGAGATGCTGCTGTTTCTTTTGTAGTCAATTAGCAAAGTTTGGGCTAATCAACTCCTTTATTCTAGAACCTGTTTTCATTAGAGAGGCTGTGGGCAAAATCATAGAATTCATAAAAATAGGTGGCACAGAATTTCTACTACCTCCTCAGGCAGGGAAAGGTAGGAGTTGAAGAAAAGGAAGTGGGGCTGACTGAGAAACTTTTTCCCTCATTTGAACTAAGGATCCATACATTATGCAAAATACCAAAAATAGAGAAACTGATACAAAAGGCTATTGGGACATCTTGGATTCTGGGACCATCTCCAGCTTTATTCTTGTGCTTTCATGACACCAGAGTCTTGATGCATTTATATCCTTATAATTCAGTTTCCTATAGTTTATTCCATATATAATATATAGTTATTAAAAGTTACATTTTAATGGAAAAGGTTTTACATGTTAACTTATTGCCAATGCAAAAGGAAAGTAACCTAAAATGTCCTAAAATGTTCTACTCAATGATTCTTTCTTCTTAGATTACAGTTTTCAAAATACCACTAATGCTGAACCAGGGATGGAGGTGGGAGAATGGGACATGTTGATGAAGATGTTTTTATAGCGGGTAGCAAACTCATTTGGAGATAACCTTGACAGGTAGTCTTTTAGACGGAAGCTGAGAAGGGACCGCCTAACAGCTGACTGTAGTCACTAAGCTACTCGTAAACATCCACTTTTCTCATTACAACTCAAGAGCATCATCTCCTATTGAGGTGCAGCCCACACTTAAAAGATTCATTTGGGTAACTTTTGAAAGATAAGGAAATTCCTAAGGTAAAGGGCTTTGCATCTATTATATGGAAGCCACTGTGAGAGAGGAAGGATGTTTTGGAGCAGTTCTAATTCAATGTGATCATAAGCATGGCAACTAGAGGAAAGAGAGTTTTATATCTGGTAGTTGGAAACATAGGCCACCATGCTGTTGTCTGGCCTTCTGCATATGATCGCTGTGTGTGTATTCAGTTGCATGGTACCTGGGTATACAAAAGAGGCAAGGATCCTCTGTATAAAAGTCTATCAATCACACACACACACCCCAATAGTGTTCAAATCAAACAACAGAGTTTTTCCATTCTCTCTTTTACTTGAAATTGAAGCAAAAAAATCAGGGCTATTTTAGAGTGTGTTTTTTTTTAAGACTAAGTTATACAATAGAGTTATCTTGCTAAGTAATTCAAAGTGTTCTTTCCCAAAGAGAGAAAACAAACAAGATATTTAATTTTTTAAAAAAGTTCCTTTCCCTTAAAGGGGTCCTGAAATCAGACAAAAACTTTAGCAGAATAGTAGACTGATTTCAGCTAAAGAAAAAGAAAACTCAATCCCTTACATTAGTTACATATGTGATTCTCATCCTCAGTAACTAATCAACTCCTTTAAGAATCTGACTCATCTCTTGTGCCCTAAACTGTGTATTCTCTTGTTTTTCTCACTTTTGCTAGGAAATGAAGCCACTAGTTAACTGGAAAATATTTTAGGAAAATGGAGTAGGGGTTTGAGAAAAACAAATATTAATACATAGTATAAAAGAATGAAAAATTTGAAAAAAAAAGATACAAGATAAATGCTATTAAACTTCCCAACATCAGTGCAAAGATTGGTTTTCTACTTTACTATGGAAATTTAAGAAAGCCATGAAGGGCCGGCCCTGTGGCTTGGTGGTTGAGTGCGCGCGCTGCGATGCTGGTGGCCCGGGTTCGGATCCCGGGTGCGCATCGAGGCACCACTTCTCCGTTCATCCTGAGGCCGAGTCCCACATACAGCAACTAGAAGGATGTGCAGCTACGACACACAACTATCCACTGGGGCTTTGGGGGGAAAAAATAAAATAAATAAAATCTTTAAAAAAAAAAAAAAAAAAGAAAGCCATGAAGAAGAAATTACTAACTTAATAGCTGGGAGAGGCGAAGAAAGAGATTGGTTGTACGGAAAGATAGGCCATAGGCCTATGTGACATTCCTGTTAGTGTTTCTGATAGGCACTCATACACAGAACATTAGGTAACTGAGAATTTCTTTGCATTAAATGATATGTAACTAAATATAACCAAATCGTCATGGCTCAGGATGTGGGAAGCTAGCAAACATATGCACTGCAAAATTCAGCCTGGTTTCTTTCAGCTTTAAAGAACGTGTTAAACAAGATTCTCAAGATATAAAAGCTAATGAACTGAATTATCAAATTGAATTTCATTCCCTTAATTTATTCTGCAGAATTTAATGAAAAGAGAAATCATCCCTTTTCAGAATGTTGCAAATGTTGGATTTTTGGAGGAATGTTTTATACAACATATCCTAGGAAAAGATGGAAAACACTGTAGAATATTTGAAAATTTCCTGGATATTTGGGCTTGTTGATCTCTTTCTAAAATAAATCAAGAGAAAAAGCAGTTCTCAAATACATTTCGCAATAAGTGAAATTAAAACTAGCAGTTAATGCTGGGATGCACGAATTTTCAAAATACACGGTGAAGGACATGTGGTTTGGGATAGAGCTATTATAACATATTGTATAAATAATCATATCATATACCAAGTTTTGAATTTCCTTTCTATCTTTTACTATTGCTACTGACCCAAAGGCATTACAGTGAGGGACAGTTTAGATTTATGGTACCAATACACACACCCAACAATGATATGGAACTGGAGAAGAAGAAAAAAAATCTATAGATTGCCATTATAATGTTTTGAGAATTAAAAGAAAATGCAGAAGACATATTTATTAAATATTTGGAATGTATGTACGTGGTGATTTTGTTTAAAGAAAAAAATGTGAGAGGCTATGAAATTGAGCCAGGTATACAGGTAAGGACTGAGCTGAGAGCCATTCTATTTCTCCCTCAACTACCATTTATGGAAAATTATGCAACTTAGGCATTCTGTGGAATGTGCTGATTTTTGGAAGTTAAAAAGAGCTCTGTACAGAACTATGAGATTCACAAAACACAAAAGAACATCTTTAATTTAGCTGGCCATTTGATAAGGCAACTTGTACAAGGCTTCTTGGAATCAAAGCATGAAGTACCAGTAAAGCTAACAAATTATACTAAATGATTTCTAGAAACAAGTACCAAGATGCAATTTTCTAGCGATTATATTTTACAGAAAAAAAAAAAAAAGATTAGTTTTTCTAAACTACCATGGAGGGAATGTTCAAGTCAACATAGACACTTGGAATGCTGGGTTATTTTCCTTTTTGATCAAAGGAAATGACTATTATGATGAAAGATGTCAGGACAAAAAAAAAAAAATAATTATGTAAGAAAAGTATTATTTGATGAGTGTAACAAAGGATAACAAACAACCCTATCAGTTTTATGGGTTATAGATGATGTAAACACTGATGAAGGGGACTTCTCATTTTAGGAAATATTAATCATTTTAGAGGAAAGGATCCACCATGAGCAACTTGTAGTGCATGCTCCTGGAGCTGAGATGGCTCTTATTTGATTTTTACTTCCAACAGTGTGTCACTTTTAATTGCAACATATGGCACAGATGAGAACACTCTGGCACTACAGAGTTTAAGATCCTTTGCAAAGAATATGTTCCACAATGAAGCCAAGGATGAGTATCAATGAATGTTATTGTACATAGCTGACAGTAGTTTGGTGGCATAAAAGGACCAAAGGCCTCCAAAATAGGTTATAAAATGGGAAAATCAGTCTTGCCCTTACCAAAGGATTTTCTGCAAGTACTATTTATATAGATATGTTAAATATAATTGAAAAAAATATTTCCATCAACTTTTAAACAATAGCTTTACCTTTCCATGAGATAAGTATTTCTATAAAGGTTTTATATTCAATCAAAAATGTTACAAATGCATTTGCATCTCTTCATCTAGGGGTACAAAGGGCACATTTTTAGGGAGCTATAGAAATCAGGAAAAGTTGCCTAACATTAAACTGTGATGATGTGAAGCTGACGTCTGTTTCCCATTTCATAACTTTAACAAAGTTACAGGATATTAGTGTTTCTTTAGCAAGTATATGTCAACATTAAATGAAATACACTGTCCCTGGTTCTGGATTCCATTCTAAGCACAATGGCTGAACCTGGGCCTTTCTAGGCTTCTCTGGTGAAAGTTCCCTAAGGCTGCAACTCGCAATATCCACTTCTGACTTTATGTTTGCCAGGAGTCACAATTGTGTTCATACTGAGGAACTGGCAATTCCTGTGTGGAGTTCTTAAAAGGACCTGTTAGAATACCAGGACTAAAATGATTTATTTTATCCTGTGTTTATCAGAATCTCAGTTTCTTTTATCTAGTGTATATTCTCGATAGCCTATCTTATTCCATGGTTCTTGGCACTTCATTTCCAGAAGTACCCAACAGAAAATGAAAATGAACCAACTCTCTTGGGGCCTGTTCAATCCCAGGTCTGTTCTTTCCTTTGGACAGGTTATCGCTATCTAGGGAATCATGTTCAGGAGGAAACCTGACAGTGGTTGAGACCAGCCCCACAGTGTGCTTCATCTGAATAAATCCTGAAAAGTTAAGAGGTTTAGGATTCAATCCTATCTTTTTAATTTTCTTTTTTGCTGTCACAGATATCCTCCTATCATTTCAACCTTGGAATAAAAGACATCTCCATTTTTATGTAGGATAAAAATAATTATGAATAATTACTTCTGAATAAAAAGCTTTTAGTTCTGAATTACTTATTTCCAACTAAACATCAGGCATATAAAATAATGTGTAATACTATGATGGATCTGAACATGGCCTTCCATGAAGAAGCTCAAAAACAGGTATTCAACATACATCAGAGCAGTTTCAATAACGTCCCTTTGAAAAGTGTCATAGAAGAAAGAGTAGAGAGCTACTGAAAGATTCTGGCTTGCTTTCTGGCCTCCTTTACTTTCCTTCAAAGGGACCACCAGGAAGAATCCCCCCGGGCTTCCCAGCGCTTTGATCCTTGTGCTCTTGTGCTTGGTTGAGGCTGGAACTATGTGCTCTCCTTGGGTGGCTGGGTGGCCTGTGGCAGCTGCAGTGGCTGAGTGCCCGTGGCCGTTTTGATAGAGTTCAGGGTTTTGCTAAACCAAGAGTTTTTTGCAGCTTGTATTTCATTCATAAGGGCTCCTCTCTGATGTTCAAGTTCCTAATTAAAGAGAGAAATCATCGGAGTTATGTAAATGTTTTCTCTCTGCCAAAAAAATCAGAGTATAGCTTTTCGGAATCCCCAGGTCTGTATAGCCATAATCTTCCTCCCACAAAACCCAGGAGAGATTTAACTGGCTTCTTAATGCAAGAAAAAAGTTTAGAGCTAAAAGAGTTACCACTTAAAACCAGGATCTGTGCTTTTTCTGAACAGTGAAACTAAACCTCATTTTATCTTTTTTTCTTCCCTGCAGTTTAGGTCCAAATTAGGTTTAGGTTACAATCTGAGATAACATGTTTAAAACCACAATAGACATAAGCGTATGGACGGATTGAGTTTCTTTTTTGTGTGAGTGTGTGAGGAAGATTAGCCCTGAGCTAACATCTGTTGCCAATCCTCCTCTTTTTGCTGAGGAAGACTGGCCCTGGGCTAACATCTGTGCCCATCTTCCTCTACTTTATATGTGGGATGCCTGCCACAGCATGGCTTGATAAGTGCTGCGTAGGTCTGCGCCTGGGATCCGAACCAGTGAACCTCAGGCCGCTGAAGCAGAGCGCGTGGCCTGGGCCGGCCGCTGGATGGATTGAGTTTTGACTGATAGTGTAAGCATGAATGAGGTCTAGTTCCAAACCTTGGGCTTCTCCCTGAGGACCACGAGGTCCAGTGCAGAAACAGTTACGGATCACTGGTGCAGCGCAGGCTGGAGCCGTGGCAGGAGACTGTGGTGGGTAGGGATTACTGGTGGAAAGGAAATGGGGACAGTCCATCTGAAGCCAGGGCTGTTTTCCTAATTATGTTATCTTCCAATATGGAAAGGGATTTGGCAAAATCAGGTAAAGATGAAAAGAAGGTCCAAAGAAAGGAATGTATGTCAGCCAGTGTTCAACTGTCGGGGGCAGGACTGGGGATGGAAGGGGTTGGCCTCCATTTTCAGGATCAGCTGCCACAGTGACCAAGTTCAAGGAGAAAGGACCTCGGCAAAAAATCTCAGGGTACACTAAAAACGCATAGGCTTAAGTTCTCACAAGATATAATTTTAATTATTAAAATTTCATTTCAAACTATGTGTTTGTTTATATCAGTGTTTAAAAATACTGACACAAAATGCAACTATGTAGGACACATTAGTGGGCAGAAAATGTATTTCTCATATAAAGTAACATGTTAGGATTCTGAGCTTGACAGGTATATTCTAAAGTACTAGGATATCCTAGACCACGAACTGTTTATTTTTTCTTGTCGCTCTTTTATGGAATCACTCACCTGGATTTTGCACTTGGCCTCCACCAGCTGCAGTTTGGTTTGTGCCAGTTCCAGCTCCATTTCCCTCAGCTGCTTCTTCAGTGAGTCCTTCTCATCGTCTGATTCAACGCCCTGCTCCTCTGTGTTTACGGCTGCTGGTTTCAAAGCGCCCTCCTTGCTGAAAATGTCACTGCAGTGCTTACATGCCATCATTTTACCCTGAAATATCCAACAGGGACAACCAACATCAAACTGTAGTGCACAGCACAAATCACTTCCTGAAACAATATGACATGATGTTTTAGACGCTGCTTGTTGTCATCAAATGCAGGCCCATTTCTGAAGGTAATTATTTTTCTTGTGCTGCAACAAAAATGGTTATAGTCAGCACAAAACCCAACTATCCAAGACAGGTGCTCCTTTTTCTTAAAAGTTTCTCCAGAGAGACCCTGGAAATAGAAAGTATGATAGCATCTCTCTGAAATCTGTCCTAGAAATTTGTGCTACCATTATTCTTAATTATTAACCTTAATCTTATCTCTACCATTTAGGCCTGAAGCCTTTGGTGTCATCTTTTCATTAGCTTCTCCTTCATTCCATATTCAGCTGCTCATTCAATTCTTCCCCTGACATGTCCAAGCTCTCACTATCCCATGCCTGAATCCCTAAAATTCACATTCTCAGTCCCCACTGATTTCTTCCCATCCATAATACACTTTTCAGATTCCTGCCTGAGTATAATTCTTAAAAGATATCTTATAAGATAACTCTCTTAAGAACCTATAATAATAATTAGCCCAGTACTGGCACAAAACAGGCACACAGCAAGTATTTGTTATATAGTTATTGCTGACTAAATAAAATGTTCAAGTGGTAGCTTTTGATCTGGGTCTTAAATGATTAAAAGTTGACCAAGCTGGGTAAGCAGTTTTATTAGGCTGAACCATATGAAGGAATAGATTAATTTCACAAGAGGGAGGAGGACCTCTCAGCAGAGAGAACACCGTGTGCAAAGATGCTGCGCCATGGGAGAACTGCGGGGAGTTTCAGATAGCTTAAGCAGAGAGTAAGTGAAGCAACAGTGAGGGGTTCGAAGTGAGAAGAGTTCTCCATGGCCACATTGTAAAGTTCCTTAAGTATAATGCTATGGAATCCTGATTTTATCCTATAGAAAATTCGTCCATTCACTTCATCAAATCCTGTGCCACATGTTGGAGATAGAGCAATGAGCCTCTGAAGCCGCAGTCTGGCAGACATGCTGCAGTACTAAGGTGTGGTCGATTCCCACCTAACATCCATCTCTCCTCTTCCTAAGTAACAGAATCCCATTTGGGCTGAAAATATGCCCAGTTAAAAGGCATCATTTCCCAGATGCCCTTGATGCTAGGTGTAGTCATGAAATTAAGTTCTGATATGTAAGCAGAAAGGTGGTGTGGAACTTAAGAAGGCTACTTAGAGAGAGCTCACCCAGATGGAGGTGGGCCCTTGTATCCCTGCATCTCCTTCTGACCTAAAACTCTACCACGGAATGTGGGTGTGATGGTGGAAACTCCAGTTGACAGGTTTGACTTTTAGGTGTCCTTTTTTTTTTTTTTTTTAATTTTTTTTTGTTTATTGCAGTAACATTGGTTTATAACATTAGGTGTCCTTGAGAATGGATGCCCATGCCGAGGATATGGGTCACTAATAACTGATGAGCTTGGATCGCTGACAAAACCAAGGATCTTTCTAGTCCTAGACTTCTTTTACATGAGATAATTGACATCTTTTGTGTTTAAGCCAATGTTATTTTGGGTTTCCTATATGTGGCCAATCTAATTCTAAACTGATACACAGAGTGATATAGTCAAATTTTATATTTGGGGATGCTCATTCTGATTACAGTGTAGAGGATTAACTAGAGGGGGGATGTTGATAGAGGAAGGTTGTTATTGGAAGCTACTGCATCATACTAAACAAGAGATGAAGAGGAAGTAGCACTGCAGAAAGAGGAGTGTGGTGTATGGTATAATAGTGTGTGTAATGGTGTAATGGTTAAGGGTATGGACTGTTGAGTCTGATTCTCTGGGTTCAAATCCCAGCACTACTGCTTATCAGCTATGTGACCTTGAGGAAATGAATTACCTATTTTGGTGATCATTATCAATAAAAAGAAGACACAATAAGTCAATAAAAAGAGGATATAATAGTATCTACCTTCTCAGGTAGTTGTGAGGGTTAATGGGATAATACACAGAAAGCCTTGGAACAGCACACACAGTAAGTGTTTAATAAGTGTTAGTTGTTCTTTATTCTGGTTAAAAAAGTTCCAGTTCCTCTTTCTGAACGTCATGGCCTTTCACTAGGTAACCCCACCTACTTACCCAATATTTTCCTCTATTCCTATTGCACACTCTAATCACATCAGTCTCCTTAATGAGACACTGAGATCTCATTCCTATTTCTGGGTCTTCATTCACAGTGTTTCTTCCAGAATGTCCTTTTTAAATCCTTCTAACTGAATTCTACCCATCCTGCTTTAGTCCAACCAGGTCTAAAGTCATCCTTGGTCGGTAGTTCTCATGATTTTCCTTTCTCTACAACTCTGATTGTCTGTCATCTAACTTAGCACTCACTCATATGCCTTTGAACTATTTCCTAAACGTTTCATGTGCATATGTACATAACTTGTTCCTGTAGGAAAATTATAGGCTCTTTGTCATGTATAATTTCTATACAAAACAGAAGTTTAATAGCTATGCACATAGTAGATGCTCAATAAAACCTTTATTGAGTGATCAATATAAATCCTTGTTTCATTTTTATTTCCACAAAGATTTTAGTTCAGGACACTTAACCCTTTTATGCCAAGACACTACATCAGCTGAGTCCTGGTCAGTGTGCCTCGAATGTATAAAGAATGATAAAGGCTGAGTAGGAAGAGGGGCCAAGGCAGACCAGAAAGGGAAGATAAGAACCCCAACTGCAGCAGGTCTGGGGAGGGAGACCACCAACTCTATACTCACTAATGATCTCAGACTGATGTTTTATAAGATGAAATAAGAAAAAAAACACTTTTGGAATAAAAGTCAGAACAAGGTTCATATTTTCAGTTCTCATGTCTCAGATTTTCAGATTATAATTTATAAAAATACATATTTATTGTGTGCCAAGTATTAAACTAAGCGCTTTACATACATTATCTTATTTAATCTTCAAAATTACCTTATGAGACAGGATCTGTTTTCTGTATTTTACACAATACAAAATAAAGCTTAGACAGGTTAAATAACTTGTCCAACTTGTTCAATTATATGCTCAAGTGCCTAGGATGCATTTATTTACTAATGTTAAACCTGAATATATTTAAATAGAACTACGTTAGTTTTCTGTAATATCGGTCCCAAGAGTTAGCTGTGCCAACACTGCTTCTTAAGAATACCAATCCATTTGGTTTACTGTTGTTTCTATAGAATATGCAATCGCTTTTTTCAAATAGATAAGCAACATAAGGAGTTTTACCACCAGGGGGCAGCATATAAATAAATGCTACAGAGTTTCTTTAAAATCAAACCTCTAACATTTTTGCAGAAGAATCAGTTACCCAATACGTGTTTTCCAGCCAAGTTCTATACTGCCCACGGTGTTGACTATTTAAGAGAGCAGCGGGATGATCCCACTGGGTTGCACACGAAGCCACATCAGTTCAGCAGAGTCAAGATGCAGGTGCTAATGGTTCCCAGGTTCCACTTTTCAAGAAGGCTCAGGCTCCGCTTGTGACAATGCTGGAATCTTCCCTCCTTTTCTGTTACCTGCCTCAGACAGCCCATAAGATTTATGGGAACATAATCTTTCAGCTGGCAGGGGAGAGGGTCACACCCCAGTCAGGAGAGAGATACCATTCTCCATAATTCCCAGATCCTCTAGAACAAGTGGGGCGGGGTGGGTGGGGGTGTGATGTCTACAAGCCATCCTGCCTGTGGGGCATCCTCACGCATTGGGATCTTCCCAGCAGGCACTCACTCACGACTATGTGAATTTGGAAGAAACTAGATCACAGAGCTATTTCACGCTTCCTCACCTTTACCACTTCCAGCTCCTCCTTGCTGGCTGCTTGCTGTTTCTCCAGTCTGGTGCTTAGCTGGGAACAGATCTGAGGGAGAGAAAAGAGTTTCTTTACTAGAAAATAGAACGACTCTTACAGCATGTGCACATACTGTTTATCGACTCACATATCACTCTAGTATCTCTGATGCTAGAAGAAATTTTGCAAATGAGTAGCACTGAGTAGGCCAGTCATTTCTCCAACGAGCAGCAGAAAGCCTGACGGTATTCCATGTGTAAAGCATATCTCTATTTTAATTAGTAGAAAAAACACATGGGGTAGATTTGATTTCTTTCTGTCACTAGCCTTCGTAACAGGTTCCAGTGAATTTCTGTCCTCACCTTGGAATCAATCTATAGAATCTTTGCTGAGTATCTATTTTGTGCAAGGGACTAGGCTGGGAATCTGATGAAGAGAATTCTGAACCAGAAACATCTTCTGTCTACAGCCACAGAAAGTGTCTCAGTCTTCAATTACAAAAGTTTCCTTAGGAAGTGGCAGAGTGAATAAAAGAAAAGTTAAAATGACCAGAAAATAATAAAGATGAAAACTCTTATCAAGTGGTTTGGTATGAAACCAAATGAAAAGCCTGGAAGTCAAACTTGACTACTTTCTGGCATTGTGTCCTTGGGCAAATTCACTAACCTTTCTAAGCCTCAGTTTCCTCATAACTGAGAAGTGCTGTGCTGTGATAATTGATGGAAAAAAATGTATGTAAAGGGTTCGATATAGCATCTGGCTGATAGTAAGTGCTCATTAAATAAAATCTCATTATTATTGATTCTGAAATAAAATGCTAACAAGTACTATGAACAGGTAGAAATAAGTGCTTTCAAAGCCCCAAAAAAATTATTTAAAAAAAAATTGGAAAGTTCAACTCTTGTTGAACTTGAGTGAAATAATCTTTTATTTTTGAAAAATTGAATTAAAAAGTTAGAGGATGTCAAATTTTAAAGCGTAATTAGTACAAAAAACATAGAACATCTACCTCTATTACCAAAACAATATTTAAAAAATCCCAGTCTACTCCAAAACAGTCCTAGAGACCAGGGCCTGCTTGTTGAGTTCAGCCTCCAATACCTCCAGATCGAAGCCTGGAAACAATGAATAGGACTGTACTGACTGATGTTAAAAAGAAGCGATCTCTCTAGTAATTTTGGCAAACCACATACCCTTTTAAATAAACCAAAACATTCTGAAATATAGCCAATAATAGCCAATTCCAATTACACAATGCATTTAGATTATGTTTTATGTCCTAATTATCTTTGAACACATGGGTCTGTTGCCTTTAGGTTACTTGAAGTGCTTGCCAGATGATATTCAAGAATAGTCCCAAGGATTTGAAGAGCACTACACAGAAGAGCCTCCCATGGCCTAATGTGGTGATGAAAAAAAAATGCATTTGCAGTGATGGTAAGTTCCAGAGCACATGGTCTTGAATGTTCCTTGTATTGGTTAATGTCTAACCATCCCTTCTCCTAGGTACCCAGATGCAAAATCTCAAGATCACTTGCAGTGTTTTCCCTTGTCTAGCGAAACATGACTGTCTTTTGTGTCTCCCTCTTCTCCATTTTCATTACTACTTATTTTAGTTCAGGGCCCTCTTTTTTCTCACCTGGACTTTGCTGTTAGCCTCTTACCGGTCTGTGTCTTTGCCTGTGGATCTCTCCACTTGGTTCCACATTTCTCACTGGGACAGGGTAGAACCAACGATATGTCCCTGATCATGGCACTTTCCTGCTCAAACATCCCCACTACAAACAGCATAAGACCCAAACTCCTCAGCCTCTCCCTGAAGACCTTCTTGAATGGGGCCCCAACTCACCTTTGCTTCTCTTCTGTACTCGAAACTCTTTTTTTTAATTTTTTTTATTTTTTAAATTTTATTTATTTTTTTCCCCCAAAGCCCCAGTAGATAGTTGTATGTCATAGCTGCACATCCTTCTAGTTGCTGTATGTGGGACGCGGCCTCAGCATGGCTGGAGAAGCGGTGCGTCAGTGTACACCCGGGATCCGAACCCGGGCCGCCAGTAGCGGAGCGCGCGCACTTAACCACTAAGCCACGGGGCCGGCCCTGTACTCGAAACACTTGCCAAACAAAACTATTTCTGTTCACTAATCTACCTCCATCCCTTTGCACATGCTGTTCCCTCTTTCCATCCTCTCCTTCTCCATCTCCACATACCCAAATCTCACCTAGCCTGTGAAGCAAGCTCAAATCACCCCTTCTCCAGGAAGGGTTTCCTCATTTCCCATATGTAATAAGTTCCCTTTCCTCTTATTTATACACAGGTATTATCTCCCCATTACAAGATCAGCTTCTAGAGGTGAGAAATTGAATTAATTGTCTTTTATTCCTCCAAAGTATCAAGGCTCACATGGTGCAGGCATTAAATAAACATATGTTGATTACCATAAAAGAGAGTAAGACAGCTCTGAAGCCTTATTTCTAAATAAATCTTCCATGAAGGGGAGGAATCCTAATGGATAGATGTTCAAGTGAACTAGTTCCAAAAAAAGCATGAACAATTTAATTGATGTTTTCATTTATATAGCAACAATGCAGTATATTACAGTGATTATTTCTAGTCAGCAAGATTAAGGGATGTTTGTTTTCTTTGTGTTCTTCTGCACTTTCCTAATTTTCCACAAGGAACATAAATTTCATTTACAAGCAGAAAAACACGTTTAAAAAGAAAAGCAAGCATCAGACTTCAAACTACTCTATGAAGCAGGAGACCCCAGGGAAATTCTTGGATAAGTAGGTGGCATACAGTGCCTTAATTAATTCTAGAAAACTGGAACTTGAACAGACCATTCAGGGTCGCTCAGCAATGAGAGGAGTCCTTGCCATGACCCAGCATGACCAGCAGGGACAGGAAGATACTACTGGACTGGGAATGAGGGTTTTCTGGGACCACTCTGGTGATGAGGCCAGAAACATCCTCAAGGAGAGCAGCCCTCCATTAAAAGATTATTTTAAGGTTCACAAAAGGAGGTTTCCTGCTAGCACTGGAGTGCGTTGGGTAAGGCTACACGGCCATGCGGGAAAAAGAGCTCCCACATTCTATACTCTGACAGCAAAGGACACGCTGATCTCCTAGCTACTGCCATTTAATACAGTCACTAAACTTTAGTCCTCGGCAAAGAGGCAAATGTTACTAGTGGAATCTACTGGAAACCAGCTTCTGAGAAGGGCAGAGACAGGATCCCAATGGTAATAATGAGGATTCCTGTTTCTCTAAAACTACCAAACATTGTGAACAACCAACAGATTGTTTTGCTCAATTAAACCTTCCATGTTATCAGCAAGCACGCCCAACCATTGTCTATTTCAGATGAGAAAGCAAGCCACCAAATTTAATGAATGCAATGCAGTCATTATTCTGGAAACTCTAAAAACAAAAATATCTTTTCCCCAAAGGAAAACAACAAAAATAATTACTTTTATAGCAACAAAAACCACAGTGGCACCCTACCTGTTTATACTCAGCAATGATAGCTGTAGTCTTCTTTATTTCATATTCGGCCTTCTCTAGCTGTTTCCTGAAGACTTCTTTCAGCTAGAAAGAGGGAGAATGAGAAACATCAAGACTCAGTCAAAATATTAATAAGTTTCACAAACATCTATATTCAAGTCTGCATGATTCACAGTCAATGACAACATTAACAACTATAACTACATAAATTTTCCTCACTGAAGTTGCAACTTGATCATTTGGAAAACCTAATCATCTCCAGAAATACAAAAATCTTACTTTCTTTCATGTAATGTATAAGACATATGAGCAACTCTATAATTTTATTTATTTATTTATTTTGCCCCCAAAGCCCCAGTAGATAGTTGTACGTCATAGCTGCACATCCTTCCAGTTGCCATATGTGGGACGTGGACCCAGCACTACGGGAGAAGTGGTGCGTCGGTGTGCGCCCGGGATCTGAACCCGGGCCGCCAGCAGCGGAGCGCACGCACCTAACCCCTAAGCCACGGGGCCGGCCCCATATGAGCAATTCTATTATAAACTGCTTATGCTTATGACTTACTTGATAAATATTTTGTTAAATAAGCGTCCATTCAGAAGCTATCTTTATCCTTATTAGAGTCTAAAACAAAACACCCAGGCAACACTACATGTACTCTCCATGCTATAAAATAAATTACTGAAAAAACTTTCCGGCCTTCCTCTTCATAGTCCCCTACTGTCACTGCTGTTGCCTCTCTGGAGAAAGGAAGGGGCTTTTGGGACTGGAGTCAGAAAAAGATGGAGGAAGATAAGAGCTCTTGAGGCAGGCGATTCAGGGACTAAAGAAACCATTTAGAAGAAGCTAAAGTGACACATAATGCAGGTACTTGTTACAGTCCCAGAAATACTAAATTGTGAGTGCTCAACTTAACACCACAGTTATTTCTGTAGCCCAGCAGCTCTAGAACTCTAGGTAGAGGGAAGGGTGAGGCAATGAAAAAGCTCAGTGCCACCAGATAAAAAGGAAAGGATTCAATTCTTCCAAGTTGTTGACCAAACAAACAAACAAACAAAAAACCATTCTGGTTAATCTTTAAGTACTTAATCAGAAAAAATAGACGAATTCTGCATTGCAGCATCCCAAATTATGAATGGGATATACTCTGTACTTGCAGATTCACAAATTATTGCAATTTATAATTGGACTTCTCTTTGGAAGATTTCTAAATTTCTTCATATTTGCTAAATTCTAAAATTCTAAAAGCAATTTATAGGTTACACTCATTCAAACTTAGTTGTTTATATTAGTCTATTCTCTATTTTACACAAGTTAAGGACATAAACCAGATCCTTCTCCCCTTCTGTGATAAGGCCCCACTGCCTTCAGGACAGACTTAGAGCCAAGAGGCTTTGAGCAAGTGTCATTCAATCTCTCTAAGCCACAGTTTCCTCATCTGACAAATGAGGAGAACAATCCTGATCTCACAAGGGTACCACAATGATTAAAATGGGATACACACACACACACACACGGGGAGGGAAGAAACATGGATTAAATTCATTTGCTAATAGCTTTATTCTTAAAGTACTGAAATGGGCCCCAAAAAGGTAGGAGGTAAAGGAAAAAAACAAAACCCATCAAAAGGCCTGGATCAAACTAGGTAATCAGCCCCTGAAAAATTTTGAGTACGTAAAAAAGAAACTTGGTCCATAGTAATTGCCAAGACTCATTTCATCATTTTCAAAAAAAAAAAAAATGGAATACTTTTTATAAATCCTGCAAGGTGCTAAACGATATATCCCTTCATTAGTAACTTTATGTAACTTTTTCTGGTTGCTTGGATGTATGTAGGTCTTTGAAATGCTTTGTGTTCTATTTTATATTTAGTATTATTGATGTCTCAGAATAAAACTCATTAAAATAAATGAGTTAATCATGACGGGCTGGGACTGACAGAGATGGAGAACATTGGTGAAACAGCCTGCTCTTCCTTAGGGAAGCCCGAAGCTCTGATGCCTTGGGCGAGAGGCCCCTCCTATCACCTATCTGGGATCCTTTGCTAAGGTGGTGTCTTCCAGCTGATTGCCCTTACAATCCATACAAAGACAGTAGGGTGCTGACTTCAAGGCTGATTCCTTAAGGGTTTCTTTTTATTACCCCAGGGAATAATGTTTGAGAGCTCTGCCAGGAACACTGAGCATGACGGAGTGAGGCAACTCCCAGCAGAGATCTCTGTAGGCTTTCAGATTAACAATCCTCATAAACTACTTCAGAGAAGTCAAATATCTTGGGATACAACACGAAATTTGCAGATTTGTCAAAGCTCTTGGATCATAATTCCAAGTTACTAAACTTAGAGAAAACTTAACACTCTTGCTAGACATCTCAGTAAAGGCAAATTCCTAAAAGCTGTTCAGGGGTAGAAATGCTGCTTCCTCTTCTAACACCCTTCAAAAGAAATGTCGAGACTCAATGCTACTCACGTGTACTGTTTTTTGATTTAGAATAAATTTAATTTTACTTCTTGTTTCTAGTGTTAATCAACTCCATACACCAATATCCCTGTGTAAACAAAAGCCCACTTATGCCTTTTACCTGAGCAGTCTCTTCCTCTTGCTTCCTCTTCTCTTCTTCAGTCTCCACCAGCCTCTGCTTGGTCAAGAGGAGTTCCTTATTCAACACATCTGCCTTGTCTTCTGCCTACAAAACAGAGCACGTAACAATCACACAGAAGGTGAAGGAAGTGTGTGTATACTTTCTCCAATCTCCACTGATTATTGTTCCAACATTACTGCAAGCCATTCTTTTCTCTCCTAGCTCACCCAGGGAGTGGCTGCTTTCATTGAATGCCAGCCATGTACCAGGCACTTGGCACATTATTATCTCTGATCCTCACAACAATCATTATTTTACAGATAATGATGGTGAGGTTTGGAGAGATCAAATAACCTAACTGGGACAGACATCTAATATCATAGCCATAATATGAATTCAGATTTGAATGGCATCAAAGCCCATGCTCTTTCTCAATGATTTATTTACTTATTTTTAATGAGGTCACATTGGTTTATAACATTATATAAATTTCAGGTGTACATCATTATATTTATACTTCTATATAGATGATACCGTGTTCACCACCAAAAGTCTAGTTTCCATTGGTCACTCTACACATGTACCCCTTTACCCCTTTCGCCCTCCCCCCCCTTCCCCTCTGGTAACCACCAATCTATTCTCTGTATCTATGTGTTTGTTTGTTGTTGTCTCAGTGCTTCTTACACATTTTCAGATGTCACAACAGCACTCACCCTGAGACTGTGTGGATGGACTGGATGAGGGGTGGAGCCTCATATGGAAGCTTCTAACTGGTAGAGCACGGGAGTGGATTCAGAGAGGACGAGCTGACAGGCTAATCCGAGGACAACAGTTAAGTGAGAAAATTCAAAGACCAGCTGAGGTAAACTGGCCCAGCAGGCTACTCACACAGGACAGTCTAGTAAGGAGAAATTAAGACCAAAACCCATAATAGAGATAGCCCTGAGGAAAACTGATGTATGGACCAGGAATCCAGACAGAAAACACCATATTTCTAGAATGACCAAGAAAAGCTCAGAGAGCGTATTTTGGTCTTAAGTTGGATACAGAGCCAAAATTAACTATGAAAGCACTGTGTATATATTTAACTTAGTAAACATGTGTCTGTTTTACACTTTAGGGCCCTCACCTCACCCTTTAGGTCTCAGCCTCAAGCTCATATCTGCAGTGAAACATGGCCTGAGCCCGGTCCCACTCACCCCCATCTCAATCAGTTCTCTGTTTAACTCTCCCATATTTCCCTTGGTAGTACTTAAGTACAATCTGTAATAACAAAATACACGTGTGATTTATTTGTCTTGCCCACTAGACTTGAAGCTCTGGGAGGCAGGAACTGTATCTCTTTTGCTCATCACCATATCCCCAGCACCCAGCCCACGACCAGGTCCAGAGCAGGCACTCCATAGAATACGGTGCATGAATGGGTGTGGCTCTCTAAGGCACTGCAGAAGTGGACTGTGTGGAGTGGAGGTGGCAGAGGGCCACAGGATGAGCTCAGCAGAGGAGAAAAGCACAGATGCAGAGGAGAGGCAGCTATTTGAAGAAGCTATCCCTGGCTGACAGCAGCAAAACATTATCCAAGTCATCGTGAAAACTGGCCAGGTGGCCTCTGTCTGTGTTTCGCCATATCTCCCACATGTCCAGATGGCCAGCAGCACAGTCTGCTGGGTCCTGGCAGAGGAACTGCATTCCAGCCTCTCTGTTCTCACTGTACCACAGTTCCTGACACCCCATATCCCAGCGCTTATGGCTCTGTTTTCAGATAATCTGGAACTGTTGGGTAGTTAAGGTGAAAAAGTCCCTTTTAAAGACTCTAAAACTTGTTCTGATACATTAGATTCTAGGGGGGAAATCTACTCAGCAAAAGAACATCCTAAAATTAGAGGTGGGCCTCAAAAAATGCAACATTTATGTTGCAAGTTAAGTTTTCATAAGTTATAAGATACCTGATGTTGAATATGGAAACTGCAACTCCTAGAGCTGCAAGCCAGGTGACTAAGGTTACCCACAAAGCAGGATGACCCTCCCCAGAGTCTCTGAGGAGAGTCACAGAGCTGCAAACCAAGAGCAGCTGTGCTGGTCGTTTCAGTTTTCTTAAAACTCTCACTAAATCTACGTCCCTGTAACTACAGCCCATGGGTTCAAGTTCTACCCTGGAATATCTGACAGACCTGCTAATAAAGGAGATTGCAATTTAACCTCCTCTTACAGTACCCTCTTAGAGTAGTTTCCATTTTGTGAAGAGAATAGTCCTTTTATAACACACATCATGACACTCTGAAATAAATGTTTTCTAAGTTTGGCTTCTTGAAGAGACATTCACCCAAAATTTTAGCCTTTTGTAAACTTCTGAATAGTCAATGCTATCCTGACATTCAGTAACAAGTTCCTTAAATTCTGCAGTATATCTAGATGTTTTATAGTTTTGGAAATGTCTGTAAGAAAAGGAGAAAAAACACTTCCTTGAGGAAATTTTTAACAAACATCTAAATATTTATGATGAGAGGACCTATTATTTTTATTTACACATTTCTGCTGCACATTCTTCACTAGGCCAAGGTGAGGCAAGCTCACTCTACTTCTCTTGTTACCAGATCTGACATCTGCAGAAATTGCTGTGGGTCCCACAGGGGAGGACTCCCAGAGTTTCCAGGAAGCTTCATCCAAAGCTTCTCCTCCATGTGAAATAGTGAAGTAGGAGTGATTCCTCTGCTCATCAAAATAGGACAAGATCCGAAATAACTTGGTTCTCGCTCTAAAAATGGTCTTCTGGGTCTTTGTATAGCCAATCTCTATACCTCACTTAAGTAGAAATCATCTTTGATGTTAAATGAATCTCTAGGAATGTAATACTAAACAGACAGATACTCAAATTCTATCTTTGAACCCAAATTATAACACCTTCACCATGATTTGATAAGACTGAGTGAACCATGGTCATTACAGTCTTCTAATCACTTACTAACATTTTATAGTGCCTTATTGATACTGAAACTTCTAATTGCTATTGAATGCCTCTATGACATATATATGAGAGAAACAAGTACTGCAATTTGTGATTTAATCGTGAACCAACTCATAAGCTGATCAAAAGGCTCAGGTCTAACATCAGGGATGAGGATCTTCCAGAAAGAACTAGCCAAGCCATTTGTTCAATTTAAAACAAAACGGAAGAATCTGCCACATATTACATGTAGCGTCTGGTCTAACACAGAACTTGCTGTGGTTGGAAGGCATCGAGGCACAGGCTTCAGTGGGAAAGTACTGCTTGTGTCTCTTCTTTCTGTTCCTTGGGGCAGAAGAGGACAGGAAGGGCCTGAAAGCAGGTAGCAACAGAAACGGAAGTGGAGATGTATCCTTTTTCATTTCTAATCACGAAGTCCTTATTTAAGGAGCCTGAGGGAGGGCAAGCTGTCAAAAAAGAAGGCTCTGTCACAGAGAAAAATTAAGAGACTTTGGTGCCCAGGAAGCCTGAAGCCAGCACTGAAATGACAGGGTAAGGAATAATTTATGTTTAAAAACTACCTAAATTAGTATTTGTTTTCTTTACATATTGTCTCAAACACAACCTGCTTTCATGTTTGTTTAATGTTTGCCAAAGTCTTGCTATTTTAATTAAGAGATTTGATTTTGATAAACTGGGAATGGAAAAGTACTGGGCAAACTGGGTGAAGGCAGGCAAACTGGTACTTCCGCTCTCAGGCTAACGCCCTTCACTGAGCCTGCAGGGCGGGCACCCAAACTGCAGGGACAGCGTTTTATAGGCAAATAAGCCCCGCTTGGGCAGAAACTGCAAAATCAGATGTTAGAAGCGAATATGCATGAAATAGTAATTTTTATTCTTTCTTCTAGATAATAAGCTTCAAAAGGCAGGGGCCAGGTCTTACTTACTTTTTTAAAAAGAGAGAGAGAGGTATGACGGGAGGAAATAAGAGACAGAAGGAATAAATGAAAGAATGAAGCAATCTTTTCTTCAGGGACTGATCTAATATCCACATGAGGTACCTAGGAGCTCAATAATCAATTATCTCAGGAGAACCCCTAGAACAATCATTCCAGATTGAACCACAAAATGGATTTTCTTGGTGGTGAAACAATTTTTTAAATAATATATTTTTGCTGATTATTAAAAAGTTATAATGCATATTATTACTTAACACCAAGGGTGGTAATTAAGATCTTCTTATAAAAGATAAATAATTGAAAAAAATAAAAGTATAAAGATGAATATAAAAATTATATTTATTCTTATCATCCAGAGATATCTAGTAGTAACGTTTTGATGTATTTCCTCATGGCTTTTCTCTTGTCAAGGTATATTCCAGCCTCCTTTTGTACAGGATGGCCGTAGGCCAGCCATATCCCTTGCAATTTAGATACAAACATTATATACAGATAAACTTACTGTTTAAAAAATATATATTATATCATTATCTTCCCATTGTTTTTAAAAACTATTCCCAAAAGACATTTTATAGTATACTTTCATTCTCCCCTTCTATTGGGACATATACATTACATATTTATATTGTTTAGTAACACTAAAGTAAACAAACTTATACATATATTTTTGACCAATCTCTATTTTTTTAGGATAGCTTTCCAAGTCAGAGAGTATATATGTCAGTTTCCTCATTTATAAAATGGAAGATTAAAATAATACCTGCTTAATGGAGTCATTAGGAAGATTAAATGAGATAATGCTTATAAACTGCTAAATATTGTGCTTGGTGTATAGTAGGTACTCAGTAAATATTTAATTTTATTATTTTTTAGACCTCTTAAAGGCTTGATATATATTACCAAATACATTTCCCACACAACTTTCAATTTACAACTCTGTCTAGCTTATTTCACTGCATCCCCACTGAGTCCAAGTGCTTAAGACTTTTTCATTTAGTTCACCATCTTAAGAAAACTACTAATGGATAAAAGATTCAAAATGGCAGAATCAAGTGTGAGTCAAGGCCGTTTGGAAGGCTAAAATGGAACCAAGAGTTGCAGGATAATAATGACTCAACACTGTAGTCTCATTAATACGTAACTGTGTAACAGCTGAGGTCAGGCTGGGTGTGACTCTGACTCTCTTAGTCACACATTTTCATACCGCCTCTAACAAGTCCCCAATAGGCTGGCTGAATGGGGTTTGTGGTTAAAAGGCCCATCATCCACTCCCCCACCCCCAACCGGGCTGCTTTATTCACCTTCTACATCCTGTGTCCCAAGCTGCACAGCTTTTGTTTTATTTTCAAACTGCATTTAGTGTTGACTCCTTCAGCTTCCTCCTCTCCCCCTTTAGCATGATTTTCCTTAACAGTGGTCTCCCATCTTACTGTGGTTAAAACTTCTGAGCTGCAAAATTAGCTGTTTATATGGCAAAAAGGAGCTGTGGCAGGGACCATTTTTTAAACATTTAAAAAATTCCTTCAATTTTAAACATTCAATCATATTTATATTATTAATGGATCTGTATTTTCAATATTGTCAGTGCATAGTTAGAGCACAGGTAATGCCCCTTTTTCACAGATTCAACAGTCTGTCTCAATTTTTCTGACACTGCGTCATTTGTTGGGAATATTCACTTTTTACAAGTCAGAAAATAGAGTGACAATTTTAAGTCCACACAAAACTCTTTCCCTATTGCCAATTATTTCCAAAAACACTAGCAATAGAAAACAGGAAGTCCTAAGGTTGTCAGTGCTGTTGGAAAGAACAAGGGAAATTAAACAATTTAAGGTCTTCCCAGCAACAGCTCATGTTTATTGCACATACTATCGTAAGTGCTGCATGTTATTTAATTCTCACATCAACCCTATGAGGTAAACACTTTTTTTTACATCTACAGGCAGGTTAAGCATTGGCAGGGTCACAGGGTTAGTGAGTGATCATGCCAGGATTCACACGCAGGCAGTCTTGGCTCTTAGCCACTAGGATGCCTGTCAATCCAACAATACACATATCTTAATGTACATCCTTCATATAAAATCTTCACATTTATTGTAGATGAAAATACTTTTGGGAACAAAAAGTAACATGCCCACCACTAGTAGAGGGGCATTAGTATACTTTTGGTGACTGATATTCTCAGGTAATTATGCTGGCAGCCCTTGGTTTAGGAAAATACAGATTAAGAGACGAGACACCAGAGAAGTTTAGAGGTATAAAAGGAAGTATGTCACATATTCTGTTTGGAAATGACCCATACCTGTCTCAAAGGGTTGCATTTTCTACCCTCTCCAATTAGCACAGGCAGTCCCCTCCCACCTGCCACCCATCCATTCATCCATCAAGCAGCTCACTCAGTGCCAAGTACATAGCAAGCCCCAGCGGGACTGCGGTGAGAGCAACTTGGTCCTTGCCCTTGAGGAGGTCGTCACAGTCCTATTTCTACCTACTGAATGACAGGTTTACCTGATCCAAGTCATTCCGCAGAGCAATTTTGCTGGTTACTAGTTCATGGGCAAGGTCATCATTCTCTTGTTCCAACCTCATGCTGGCCTCCTGTAATCTCCGGTTCTCCCTCTGCAGAAAAAGAGCAACAGCCAGAGGTGGGCATGAGTGCTGGGACAGACTCTCAAAACAAGCGGAACTGGTGAGGAGAAACAAGCAACAACAACGAAGTGAACTTCTGAAGGCGTGAAGAGGAGAAGGCGCAGGTGGCACAGGAAGGCAGCACTGCTGTCGGGAAACAATGGTGAGTTAAGCTGGCAGTGCGGGTGCGGTACTCCACCCCGTGAAACTTACACCTGTCCCTTCCGCCCTCCAGACGGGACTTCATTGTAACAACTGTGCCACGAAGAGCAAAACTGCCAAACATACCCCCAATCCTGTGAGGTCTTCCTATAGACCTAGAACACAGACACAGGCAATTCTTTGTTGAAACATGCACAATAGTCCCACCCTTGACCTCAAAGGAAACTGCAAGACACAGTAGGGATGAAATGGGGGGAACCACTAGACATTTCGTCAAATTGTTTTTCCACTATCAGGGTTCAAATTATTTGAGTATATTTAAGAGCACTAAATCAAGATTCAGGATACATGGGTTTGCGACTTTGCTATCAACTGATATTTTCATTCTTTGGGTAGGTATATATTTACTTTTCTGAACACCAATTTTTGTGTTAGTAAGAGTAATATGATAATGTCTCTAAATGTTTGTTTTGTCTTTTTAAAACTTCAGATTAAAAGATTCTGGGTAAAATAAATTAATGAGCTGTTTTTTTCCCCTTGAATTTCCAGGAAAAATCTGAAACAAAGTTTCAAAGAACCAAGTCACTAATTCTCATGAATAAGGTCTCCCTTTAGCTGGCTGTTATGAACTGTGCACATTCACATCTACTGTCAGAATAGCAATTTAGTGTCTTCCATTCCCAAGTATCAAAAGTGCTTTCTTTGCTACTGTTAGCAGTTACAGGAGAGTCAAAAGAAGCTGACAGGAAAGACATCAATGTGATGAGACCTTCCTGTTTTTCAGATTTATACTCCTAATAGTGCTTTCTGCAAGGGTGGCAAAACTCAGACAAACCAGAAGACAAATCTATGCCCTGGATGATAGTGTATCATAGCAAAGTGGGAGAGGGTGAAGTGAATTTTATCTTCTATAGAACAACCTGGAGTTTGTTATATGGAAAGAAGAAAACCTGATTTGTTTTTTTCTTTTTGTTTTTAGAAGAAGGGCTAAGAAGCAGATGCTAAGGGCAAAGCCCGAGACTTTCGTGGAGACAGAGGATCCAAAAACAGGGCCAGCAGGGAAGCTAAAGGACGAATCCGCACTTCAACTATAACCAGCCAACAGGGCCCGTTCCTGTCCCTTCTTTTGGAAATGGTAGACTGGGATAGTTGGGGAAACATTTTTGAAAAAGAAATCTACTGAAAAAGATAAAAACAAATCCAAATCACTTAGGTACTTTTAAACAAATTCATGATAGAATTCCATGCAGTGTTAAAATATAAGTGAAAAGTATCTAATGACAGAAGACATCCTTATGCTACCTTATAGAAAAAAAAAGACAAGTAACTGGAAAATCCCATTTTCATAACAATATGAATAACATTAACTGTAGGTAGTGGATTTTTATTGTTGTCTCTGTGCTTTTAAAATGTTTCCAAGTTTTCTACAATAAATATATAATGCATGTGTTAAAACAAAGTTTAAGAAGTTGTTTAAAAAATAAAAAGCAATTCAGAATTTCAATTCCATTGGAAAGGGTAAAATGCCAAAACCAGAATTTTTTAAAGTCCACTCCTGTTATAGGCTCATATCTACACAAAACCATACTGTATCTTCCTTTGTGACCCATTTACAATGTAACCCCTCAAAAGTGCTGCCTTGCCAGGAACTCTTTCCCAAGAGATTCCTGAAAAGACAGTGTACATATTTGCAGGGGCAAATTGTACTCATCAAATTCTGTCTGTCCCCTCAATATACAGAAGCATATAAAAATGGAGACTAAAATATAAAAAAAGCTAGAGTGTCTACAGCTGACTCTTTCAATCTTTGCTGAAATAATCTAAATTTTAGCAGGGGCTGGAGAGTTAGTCTTTCATTCTGATATATCTAACTATTACCCCGTTTTGTGGAAACAACTTACATAACTGTTGAAAACTTAGGCTAAAAAAAAATGTTTCAGAAACTTTTCCAAAAAATTTCTTCCTTGCCAAGAACGAGCAGCAACACCCAGCACAATTTCATCACACTATTTCACAATGCAGACTGCCTAGAAAGGGAAGAGATTTTTCTCATTTCTTGGTAAATCCCTTCAAAAGAGACCATGAGAAGACTACTCTAATACCTATTCCTGAGTTAAGCATCCCATTTCTACTAAAACTGTACTTATAGGACTCCAAGGTACAAAACCTCCCTCAACTATTTATTTACATTTATTTAGCACAAGTGAAAATGTTGCAGCTACCAGTTTTTCAGGTTACAGTGACATATGCTTAGAATTGAGTTAAAATAACCTCTAGGTAAAGTCATACGATGCTCACGGAAAAGTACTCTGTTAAAGGTATTGAAAAACCTCACCAGGTAGCTACTTCACTATTGATTAGAGATAAATGTCTCATGGGTTATATTATATAAGAAAGAGGTATGAGCTCAGCTGAAATTCTGACTAGTAAATTCCTATTACGATGCTGTTGCAACTCAAACCCTTCCTTAGAGACACACAGCTAAGGGGGTAGGGGGTGAGAGGGGAAGACTTGGGAGAAATTATGAGTATCTGAGGGTCTCTAAAAAGCAAAATAGCCTAGGGGGCATGCCTATTGCCTTTCGCTTTAGCAAGAAGCTTCAGTTCAGTGTCTGCAAAGCAAGCAGCACAGTGGGAAGTGAGACTCCTGCTCTGCACTCACAGACACGTGGAAAGCAAGCTATAGGGTCAAAAATGCAGTATCGTCCTCCAAAGTACGAACCCGAGGGCAGCAAGGTGTCCTCAGGAGTCCTCTGGTGCTATTGAGTGCCACAGTGAGGCACTGCTACTGAGATGGAGATTTTCTATGAGAAGAACTTGCCCGCACTCACCAAGGGTTAATGAGAGATGACATTACTTGGCTGTCTTTTCCAGCCTTTCCTGAGGAGCCACAGCTGTTTTTAGAACTGACTGATTCAAGAAAAAGTTTGCCTTATGCTAGAATGGGGAAGAAAGTTTAGCTCTGATGGGCTTGGGAAAGGTAGTAACCTTGCTTGGTTCATTCTGAAATGTTAGCAAGGGCTGCCCACCCAAGAGAGACTTGAGGTCAGCCCCATTAACCTCAGTCAGTCCGGATTCCCATGCTGTAAGTCTGCAGGAGCAGACGTGCTGAATGCTCAGAGCCCGTAAACAAAACAGGCAAATCGCTTCCCCTGCCTTTCAGAAAAGACTACAGGAGACAATGTTTACATAACCCTTAAAACTCACATCACACTGTTTGAAACATCCACCATCTCACACAGTTGGCACCATCTGAACAAAAAGCAGACAACTTTCCTCATTCCTCCCCTCCCCTCTTGCACAGGAGATGTATAGCCGGGAAAGTTAGGTTAGTAACTTTTGGGAGGAGGATACTGCATTTTTCAGAGAGACAGACGCTGATATTACAGACATACACAGATAAAAAACTTACCTCCTCAAAAGTCATAGACCAACTACCGTTTTCAATCATAGGTACAAAGACAATAGAAAAAAAAAGAATATCCAATGAAATCGCACACCTACTAATACATTTAGGAAATGGCAATAACAAAAAGAGACACTTGGTAATGCTATTTTGCTATTTTGTTTTCCCTTAGAGTGTCATATACTCTAAGTTCTCTCTCTGACTGCAAACATTTGATGCAAAAAAGTATACTTGAGGCAGCCAGTGGGCAAGTCTCAACTCAGGAAGACGGATACTCCTCCCTCTCCTCTCCACACTGCTATTTGCAGTTTGCATGACTAATGAAAATGCTCTATGTGGAACTATTAGCAACTACGGTGAGTTGTTTATACAGTGTTATTAAAGCTGGGTGGAAGGAACTTCCTTATATGACAAGGTCGGAAACCTTGCAAAAGAGTTCATCTTCAGGCGATAGAATGAAATTGCTGGGCAGGGGAACACAAAAGAACTGATCTCAGGTCTCCTTTGTGTCTGGGGCTGAAGTTTGGGTGAAACAGGACAACGGATGGTGAACGTCATTTTTTCCAAGATGAGAAAACAGAGAAACGTGAACTGGCCATCAAAAGAAAATAAACCAAGCCTTACAGGAAAAAATGATGGGGAAGGAGGCAGCTTTAAAAACTCTAGCTCAGTATTTTGGGTGTGTTGTCTGCTGCTATAATGAATTCCTGGCACATGTTTTTAAAGACATTTAAGGGTCAGGAGAAAATGTTTTCTTAAAAGATCCAGTGCAATTTTAGTAGCAACAACACACTCAACTCTCCCATATTTTCTTTTGGATACCTCCTTCAAAAGAGTTGATAATCATCATATTCAAATTTCATCAAACAGTTTTTGACATTCAAAGACAAATGCCCACAGATGAAATGTTTAAATGTCGACATTGTCTGTCAATGAAGGTTTGAGAAAGAAAACCTGGATATTTGAAATCACTTTATGCTCCTCCTTTACCCAACACGTCCAATTTTATTTTTCTGGTGGAAATTTAAAAAATTTAAATGTCAAACTAAAAAGAAAATCTAGTTAGTAATAACTAACTGGCAGTTGGCAAACCAGACTGCATTTCTTTTAGCATTTAAAAAACAATCTCAGATTATACTCTAGCACAGGGGTCAGCAAACTTTTAGCGTAAATGCCCAGAGAGTAAATATTTTAGGCTTTGCAGGCCATAGGGTCTTTGTTGAGACTACTCTACTCTGTCATTCCTTGTGCAAAAGCAGTCACAGACAATAAGTAAACAAATGGGTGTGGCTGTGTTCCAATAAAACTTTATTTACAAAAACAGGCAGTGGGCTAGATTTGGCCCACAGGCCACAGTCTGCAGATCTCTGCTCTACTCTAGCATACAAATCACATTTTAAAAAAGCAAAAGGGTTACAGATGAT